AAAAATGTCATAGAAATTATAATTTAAACAATAAAATGCAAATAATAAGCATAGAGTTCAAAAATATCCATTTGGAATATTGAATATTATATATGTGTTAGTAAACGCATAAAATGTCTCAAAAAATCTCTAAATTTATTAAAAACCTGCTTAAAATGTTCAAAATATATCAAGTCATATAAATACAAGTCGATTATATTGCAATAACAAAGATAAATAACATTTGTAATATAATAGAAAAAATGGATAAAAATTTTCTAAGTTGATGAAGGTGTTCGTGTAATAATTGGAAAATTTCTAAGTTAATGAACGTGTTCTTGTAATGTTCCCTTATATTGGGGCGTTGTCGGAGACACATACCCAAGGTTGTACATATATATGGGGTGGTCGGCTGACCGACTGCTAGTACTAAGGTTGCACAATGACTAGTCCTATATTAGGGACTTAACATAGTAAGGTCTGACGAACCAAAGCATTAATATAGAAGGTCTCTATGATGCATAAGCATTATGATAGCAGAGTTATGACTTGAAGTCCCATATGAATAAGACATACAGTAGTATGGTCTATGAAATAAAGCAAATATGTGGAAGGTCTCAAATATGTAAAAGCATTATATTGAAAGAAATGGGACTTGAAAAGGATTATTATAGTGGCGTGTAGGTTGCTTCGCAGCCTCTGAGACCGAGGTAAACTTGGACTCACTAACCGATGTGTCCTAGACATATCATCTTAGTGCCGGTGGTAAGCGGGTTTGTTGTAGCAATACGACTTGCCCGTGGACATCGCACACCCCTACCGGTTGTGGGCGGCGTCTTAGCGCATAGCGTTATGATACGTCGGCTATCTTTCGGATTAGGGTGAATGTGTTTGGTAGTACTTTTAAGTGCAGCAAGCATACTCAACTTCATGTCTTAGTGCAATAGCGCTATGATACGTGGAGTTTTGGCTACTGACGTCTTAGTACCGTACTACTATGATACGTTAGTGGTATTTTTAGTTAACAACATTATCAAATTTTGTTACCAAAGTCGATAGGGATCATGTGGGTGTGTTGTGAGGGGGCGCCATCCGTATGATAGTTGCATTGATGCTTACTGCTACTTGCAGTATTGTGTCTTGTGATGGATCTGCGGGTGTGCTGCACCTGATTCGATGCATCTTGTGGTTCTGGTCGATGGAGGTATGCGGGTGGTGATGTCTGCTGGGACTGTATGGGGGACCTTGGGATGGTGTAAGCCCGACGATAGTCGTATTGATGCTTGTTGCATTCTGTAGCATTGCGTCGCTACGATGGTTGTTTGGCGGGTCGCTATTCTCAATGGCGCTCTCTGCGTCTTGGTTTGACTCACAACCTAAGTAGCTTTGCCCAAGTCGGGTCCCTTCATTGCGGGGCTGCAGACTGTCTGCCCTCCATGATGTTTTATATAACAACTTAATAATATATCTCTATAAAGTTCCCACCTTTGAGAGATTGAAGGCAACTTGTTGGTGGGTGAGACAAACATGATCGAAAAATGCATATACTCAACGTCAGAGACACAAACCCTTTCTGATGGCGAATTATTAATATTATCTTATAACTGCCTATTGGCTATATCTGCCATTGTATTGGTTGGTGGAGCATATGTGTTGACCTCATGCGGGTGGTAGCTGGAGGGAGAATCTGAGGAGGCTCTCAAGGCTGCGGCCGAAAGCCGTGCAACGTGGGACCCCATTCCCTTGAGGTGAGCGGTAGACTCATGACACGCTCTGCGGCCAATTGGCCGTGCTGACCATGCAATTGGTGGTGATGCCTTACACTTACATCACGTCTGCAGGAACGGCGGTCTGGCAGGTGGTGGCGCTCACGGAAGGCTTTTTATGGTCAGTGTGCCGATTGTTGCCTAACCCGTGTGACGTACATTTCACTGTGGCTGGATTTGATCGTATTCTGTATGGCGTTTACACGCATTGACATGCGCGACTTCGGTCGATGTTTGTGCTTACGCACTATCAAGGGGCCAAGTCCTCTTTTACTGGTTCGCCAGTTATTTTGCTGTGGACTACGGTCCAGTTCCCAACTTTGCGTACCCTTCGTGGGGAGCGCATTAAAATGGTTGGCGCTCACCGTGCGCGGCGTGTGTGGGGCCGTGTACCTCCTCCACATTTTTTTCTTAAAATGTGGGAGAGCGAAGCCCTTGTAACTGGTATTTGATATAAATATTGTGAGCCTTTTCCAAGCGGGAAGGGATTAATTAATAAGGAATTGACTGTTGTGAACCAGATACAAGTGGAATAGGGACAATTTATTGTTCTTAACCTTTTTGAGCTCTGTCTTCGTGAACGGAGTTCTTTAGCTTATAAGACTCTACCAACAGCTTTCGATTGCTCTCGTGAATATTCATTCTTCCAAGATACACCTAAAAGAACTAAGTTACTATACAAACACAACGTAAAGAGGGGTCCTAACTAAGACGATCACGCCATAAATTTAAACGGCCTATATTTAAACCTTTAGAAAGATCAAGTTATACTGGTCACGTAAATTTGATATATTTATATATCTTACAGATATAGATTCTAAAGAAATACAAATATAAGTGGATAAATAGTAGAAAAGAAAAAAAGATGGGGGGGGGGGGGTTCGTTACAATTTGGTGCCGTGACCAGGATAGAGGTTAAATTTTAAATAGGAGGCCGGTAATATAAAATTATGAGGTAGGCTATATGCCTACAATTTGTTGTCCGTGAAATGGAGAGGTGTCTTGGAGAGTGGTGTTTGCTGGGGGTGATTGAGAGTCTGGGGGTGGGGCTTAAATATTAAAATGGAGTAATAATATAGGAGGTGTGTGCATAACGGAGCGAAATAATAAAAAGTGAAATAAGTGGAAAGACTCAATTAAACTAAGTGAAGGACACAACAGGTGTAAAAAAAAAAAAAAAAAAAAAAAAACACTGCAATACTATATATTATAAAGTGAAATAAGTGGAAAGACTCAATTAAACTAAGTGAAGGACACAACAGGTGTTAAAAAAAAAAAAAAACTGCAATACTATATATTATAAAGTAAAATAAGTGGAAAAACTCAATTAAAGTAAGTGAAGGACACAAAAAGTGTAAAAAAAAAAAACAAGTGGTAATAAAAATTAAAAATGGCAAAAAATAAGAAAAAATCAACCTCAATTAAGGCTAAGTCTAAAGATGAGATGAAAATGCTTCAGAAATTAATTAAGAATGCAGTGAAAACCTTTGAGGTTAAAATAAAGGATCTTGAGGAAAAATTTATTAACCAAACGAAAGATTACCAAATTAAAATAAATCAAGGAGAGGTGTCCGGGGCGAGCACCTCTCATGTAAATGATCCTAGACAAAATATTGTATATAATGTACATAATGTAACAATAGAAAAGCCGAAATTTGGAAATGGAAATACTCATCCAGTATCATTTTTGGAAGATCTCACCAATTATTTAAAGAAAGTTCCATCTAATGGTCTCGAAATTTCGATTGCACAAGAGTGCTTAGTAGGTGAAGCCAAGTATTGGGCTCGCATTAATAATGTGCGTTGGACAACTTTTGATAATTTTAAAGCTGACTTCCTAAGAGTGTTTTGGGGTGAAGAAGAACAAAATAAAGTAAAGAGATTCCTTGTGCAAAATAAATGGAATAGAAGTACACACCCCACCATGGTTAGTTATTTTCTTTATGTGGTTGAGAAGGCACAAACATTATCATATCCGATACCTGAAAAACAATTAGTAACTGATGTCATCAGACATTATCCTAAAACTGTGCAGCAATTATGGAGAATAGCTAAAATTGAGACAATAATAGACACGACAGATTTCTTAAGAAACTTAGATGACATCGACAAACAAGATGAAGGTCGTGAACCTTACTATAATGAGAAAAGGAGGAAGTTTAATAATAATACGGAGCAAAAACATAAAGAAATACAACAATCATACAAAACATGGCGTAAACCCGAAGAGGGAAAAAAGAAGGTTAATGAAGTACATGAAATACATTTCACTAATGACCAACCTGATGTTACGGCTCCTGAGCCAAATTTAGAGCTGGAGAGGTCGAACTAGTTCCCGATTCGACCCCTTACAATGTAAAAGGGAACAAAGCATTAAATATGTTATTAAAACTGGGTTGGCGACCTGGTCAAACATTGGGTAAAAACAATAGAGGGTTGCGAAAACCTATTACTTTAAAAGCAAATTTTAACAGAGAAGGCCTTGGTTATAACGACAATGTAAATAGCATATTAAACACCTTAAAAGCCAGGTCGGACTTGCCCATAACGGAGTTATTCGTGCAAACCGTCTTCGAGGAAGACGAAGATAAATATCAAAGGGAATTTATAGGGAATATGAGATCTGAAATTAAAGTTTCAATATTTGACAAAGAAATAGACGCGCTCCTCGACACTGGGAGCGATGTTACATGCATTTCAGAAAGTTTATATTTACAAATTAAAGAAAATAATCGTAAAATATCAATAATGCCAGTTAAAGCAATGCAAATAAAAGGTGCTGTTGGGCAGCGCAGCACAAAAATACAACAGATGATCATATTGCCTATAAAGATAGATGAAGTAGTCTTTGAAACACAAACTTTAATTGTAGGTAATTTAATAAGACCTTTAATATTAGGCTTTGACTGGCTCAAGAGAAATAAAATATTGATTGATTTGAGAAATACTACTGTTGGAATAGAATTTAAAGTGAAAAACAAAGACTACTTTATACCTTTCAAATATAATAATAAATCTGTATTACATAATAACTGCATCAAACAATGTACCGATGATCCCTTAATAAATATAAAAATAGGATCTACATTGGAGGTCTCTGAAAGGGCATAACTTAGTAAGGTTTTGGAAAAGCATAAGAATATGTTTTCGAGCAAATTGGGAAGAGCCAATTGCTATGAGCATAAAATTGAAATGATCGATGATGAACCTATAGTTACTAGGTCCTATCCCATTCCATATGCATATAGAGCGAAAATGGAAGAAAAGTTAAATGAAATGGAACAAGCTGGTATCATCACAAGGACATCAACGCCTTACAGTAGTCCATTGACATTCACTCTTAAAAAAGACGGCTCAATTAGAGTTCTGCTTGATGCCAGAAGCATAAATAAGAAAATGGTTGCAGAAACAGAGAAACCACCTATACAATTAGATGTTTTGAATTCATTTCACGGAGCGAATTATATCACTACCATTGACTTAAATAATGCATATTTTCAAATTCCGATAAATAAAGATGGTAGAAAATATACTGGATTCACATTCAATGGAAAGTCATATGTATATAATGTTTTGCCGCAAGGATTAAAAACATCAGTAGGAAGCTTTAGCAGAGCCATGAATTTAATATTAGGACCAGAAGTCCAAGAATTTTGTGTGAACTATTTAGATGATCTAGCCATTATTACAACAGGAACGTTAGATAAACATTTGGAGCACATTGATATTGTTTTAAGTAAATTGAACAAAGCTGGCTTAACGTGTAACTTGCAGAAATGTGAATTTATTTGTAAAGAAATTAAAATGCTGGGTTTTATAATTTCAACAGAAGGCATAAAGACAGATCCCGATAAGATTCGAGCGATCCAAGAGTTTCCAGCACCTAAAAAGATTAAACAATTAAGGGCCTTTTTAGGTCTATGCAATTTTTATAGAAGGTTTATACCAAATTACAGCGAGAGCATAATACCGCTCTGTGAATTACTTAAAAAGGGACGAAAGTTCCAATGGAGCGGTAAAGAACAGAAGGCATTTGATTTTATAAAACAACAATTTATTAATACAATACAATTGCATCATCCAGACTTTAATATGCCGTATTATTTACAAACAGATTGTTCCGGTGTGGGTATGGCCGGAGTACTATATCAGATAGATGATAATAATGAAATGAGAATTTTAGGCTATCATAGTAAAGCCTTAAAAGGCCCCGAATTAAATTGGTCTGTTACTGAACAAGAGTTTTATGCTGTAATAAGCTGCCTAAAGAAATTTGAAACATATTTGCGGGGCAGTAAAGTAATAATACTAACTGATCATAAAGCATTATTGTTTATTAATAATATGAAGTTATTCAATGGTAGAGTAACCCGATGGATTTTGTATATAGAACAATTTAATTATGAAGTACAGCATATATCGGGTAGACGTAATATTGTTGCAGATGTGCTATCACGTTATCCTCCTGATGGCGATTTAATACAAGAGGATAAAAAATAATAGTTTAGAAATTGCTTACACAGAGAGCGAACCGAATATTGAGTTGATAGAAAAATTAAAATCCTTATCAGTATATCAATTACAAGATTCAGAGTCGTTGGCTATTATTGAAAAGTTAAAGACATTAAATACTTCCATAATAAAACAAAACAATAAATTTAAAAGGTATAGTTTGAAAAATGATGTATTATATTACAAAACGAATTTACAAGAAGTAATATATTTACCTAAAGCATTGAGACAAGATATTATAAATCAAGTGCATGTCGAAATGGGTCATCAAGGACCCTATAAGGTAACTAAATATGTGAGAGACAGATTCTTTTGGAAAGGTTTAACGAAAGATATTAAAAACCAATTAAGGGCTTGTCATTTATGTCAGTTATCTAAGAAAAGTAATATAACATATGTGGGTCCCTGCAAATCTATAATAACAGAAAACATTGGCGATATAGTCATGGCAGACTTATATGGACCACTTGTATCAGGTACCTTTGGGTACACTTTCATATTTGTCATTCAAGATTCATTCAGTAAATTTATCAAATTATATCCTTTAAAACAGTCAACAGCAAAGTCTGTTGTAACAAAAGTAAAGCATTTTGTTGAGATTATAAAGCCCAAGGCAATAATGACAGATAATGGAAAACAGTTCGTAAGTAATCACTGGAAACAATCAATGAGTGAATTAAATATAAAGCCAATATATACCACAGTTAGAAATCCTAGACCAAATACAACAGAGCGAGTAAATAAAGAGTTGAGCAGATTATTTAGGACGCTTTGTCATACTAACCACAAAGATTGGGCGTTAATATTGCCGAAATTAGAAGAATTGTATAATAATTCTTATCACAATAGTACAGGCTTCACGCCTTGTGAGATTCTTTATGGTGAGTCTAATGAGATGTCTTTTGACAAAGTAATTTCCAAACGTAAAGACAAACATAATGTCGAACAAATTAGACAACAAGTGCGTAAAAATTTAAAAGAGGCAAGTCGAATAAGAAACACAAAATTTGATAAGCGAAATAGATTAATAAAATATAATATTGGTGACTTAGTAAAAATTTCAAGATCTAGTAGATCAGACGCTGATAATAAAGTTATGAGTAAGTTCAATTTGGCATATGAAGGACCTTATGTAATAGCAGCCGTACCATTTGACAATGTATATACCTTAGCAAATCCAGAGACAAACGAAATTAGAGGAATTTTCAATGCTATTCACTTATTAAAATATTTTAAATAATAATTTCTTTTTGTATAAATTAGAGTAATTAAATAAATATTGTAACATAAAAGGGTTTTGTGGGTGGCCCATGGAAATAATTGTTTAAGTTAAAGGTCTAAAATTATTAAAGTTATGAGCAAGAGATTTGTTATATGATAGTAGAACGTTATTAATATATAATGAAGAGTTGTAAATATAGATCGTAAGATAATTTTGTAATCATTTTTATTAAATAAATATGGGAGTTGGGTCAGGGCGAATGGCTCAAACACATTTATCCTATGTGGTATCGAACTGACCTCAACAAATATCAGACTGGATTGTATGCACATAAAGTGTGACACTATCGAAATAATGTTTCAAAGATTTAAAGATAAATTAATAGAATAAGAAATCGACAATTGACTGCAAACTTTATTAACAACACGATATACAATAACTTGAATTATGGTGTTATCACATTGTGATAAATGTGGTTGAAGGGGTGTTGGTGGCGGCCATTCTCTGGGGCAGGGGGATTTGATAACATATACCGTATTGTAACAGATTAAAAGAGGAAAGAACAGATATATAAACAATTATTTGAGTGTAGTGAATATGCTCTCAAAATACTAAAATTTTATATTAACGACTCCACTATGTGGATCATTAACATAAAATTTGGGGGTGGATTGTGACGCCTCATAATTATTATTAATAAATGATAATTAAATTCATTATACAAACATTTAAAAATGTCATAGAAATTATAATTTAAACAATAAAATGCAAATAATAAGCATAGAGTTCAAAAATATCCATTTGGAATATTGAATATTATATATGTGTTAGTAAACGCATAAAATGTCTCAAAAAATCTCTAAATTTATTAAAAACCTGCTTAAAATGTTCAAAATATATCAAGTCATATAAATACAAGTCGATTATATTGCAATAACAAAGATAAATAACATTTGTAATATAATAGAAAAAATGGATAAAAATTTTCTAAGTTGATGAAGGTGTTCGTGTAATAATTGGAAAATTTCTAAGTTAATGAACGTGTTCTTGTAATGTTCCCTTATATTGGGGCGTTGTCGGAGACACATACCCAAGGTTGTACATATATATGGGGTGGTCGGCTGACCGACTGCTAGTACTAAGGTTGCACAATGACTAGTCCTATATTAGGGACTTAACATAGTAAGGTCTGACGAACCAAAGCATTAATATAGAAGGTCTCTATGATGCATAAGCATTATGATAGCAGAGTTATGACTTGAAGTCCCATATGAATAAGACATACAGTAGTATGGTCTATGAAATAAAGCAAATATGTGGAAGGTCTCAAATATGTAAAAGCATTATATTGAAAGAAATGGGACTTGAAAAGGATTATTATAGTGGCGTGTAGGTTGCTTCGCAGCCTCTGAGACCGAGGTAAACTTGGACTCACTAACCGATGTGTCCTAGACATATCATCTTAGTGCCGGTGGTAAGCGGGTTTGTTGTAGCAATACGACTTGCCCGTGGACATCGCACACCCCTACCGGTTGTGGGCGGCGTCTTAGCGCATAGCGTTATGATACGTCGGCTATCTTTCGGATTAGGGTGAATGTGTTTGGTAGTACTTTTAAGTGCAGCAAGCATACTCAACTTCATGTCTTAGTGCAATAGCGCTATGATACGTGGAGTTTTGGCTACTGACGTCTTAGTACCGTACTACTATGATACGTTAGTGGTATTTTTAGTTAACAACATTATCAAATTTTGTTACCAAAGTCGATAGGGATCATGTGGGTGTGTTGTGAGGGGGCGCCATCCGTATGATAGTTGCATTGATGCTTACTGCTACTTGCAGTATTGTGTCTTGTGATGGATCTGCGGGTGTGCTGCACCTGATTCGATGCATCTTGTGGTTCTGGTCGATGGAGGTATGCGGGTGGTGATGTCTGCTGGGACTGTATGGGGGACCTTGGGATGGTGTAAGCCCGACGATAGTCGTATTGATGCTTGTTGCATTCTGTAGCATTGCGTCGCTACGATGGTTGTTTGGCGGGTCGCTATTCTCAATGGCGCTCTCTGCGTCTTGGTTTGACTCACAACCTAAGTAGCTTTGCCCAAGTCGGGTCCCTTCATTGCGGGGCTGCAGACTGTCTGCCCTCCATGATGTTTTATATAACAACTTAATAATATATCTCTATAAAGTTCCCACCTTTGAGAGATTGAAGGCAACTTGTTGGTGGGTGAGACAAACATGATCGAAAAATGCATATACTCAACGTCAGAGACACAAACCCTTTCTGATGGCGAATTATTAATATTATCTTATAACTGCCTATTGGCTATATCTGCCATTGTATTGGTTGGTGGAGCATATGTGTTGACCTCATGCGGGTGGTAGCTGGAGGGAGAATCTGAGGAGGCTCTCAAGGCTGCGGCCGAAAGCCGTGCAACGTGGGACCCCATTCCCTTGAGGTGAGCGGTAGACTCATGACACGCTCTGCGGCCAATTGGCCGTGCTGACCATGCAATTGGTGGTGATGCCTTACACTTACATCACGTCTGCAGGAACGGCGGTCTGGCAGGTGGTGGCGCTCACGGAAGGCTTTTTATGGTCAGTGTGCCGATTGTTGCCTAACCCGTGTGACGTACATTTCACTGTGGCTGGATTTGATCGTATTCTGTATGGCGTTTACACGCATGACATGCGCGACTTCGGTCGATGTTTGTGCTTACGCACTATCAAGGGGCCAAGTCCTCTTTTACTGGTTCGCCAGTTATTTTGCTGTGGACTACGGTCCAGTTCCCAACTTTGCGTACCCTTCGTGGGGAGCGCATTAAAATGGTTGGCGCTCACCGTGCGCGGCGTGTGTGGGGCCGTGTACCTCCTCCACATTTTTTTCTTAAAATGTGGGAGAGCGAAGCCCTTGTAACTGGTATTTGATATAAATATTGTGAGCCTTTTCCAAGCGGGAAGGGATTAATTAATAAGGAATTGACTGTTGTGAACCAGATACAAGTGGAATAGGGACAATTTATTGTTCTTAACCTTTTTGAGCTCTGTCTTCGTGAACGGAGTTCTTTAGCTTATAAGACTCTACCAACAGCTTTCGATTGCTCTCGTGAATATTCATTCTTCCAAGATACACCTAAAAGAACTAAGTTACTATACAAACACAACGTAAAGAGGGGTCCTAACTAAGACGATCACGCCATAAATTTAAACGGCCTATATTTAAACCTTTAGAAAGATCAAGTTATACTGGTCACGTAAATTTGATATATTTATATATCTTACAGATATAGATTCTAAAGAAATACAAATATAAGTGGATAAATAGTAGAAAAGAAAAAAAGATGGGGGGGGGGTTCGTTACAACTTCATTAGACGAGACCTCTCCAACTTAACGTTTAGGTTCAGTGTGCCTCTAACCATTCAGTGATCGCTACCAGTTTTCACCCTCGCGATCACGGAGACATCACTGAACAGTTGTCGTCTGGTCGTCATAATGAAGTCAATCTCATTTTTTGTGGAACCGTCGGGGCTCGACCAGGTCCACTTCCTGTGGGGCCGCTTCTGGAAGAAAGAGTTCATCATAAAGAGTCCCTCTTTCTCCATGAAGTCGGCCAGCTGCTGGCCCCTTGGGTTCCGTTGCCCTATTCCAAATTTCCCTACTTTCAGCTCACCGTTCTCTCTTGTGCCTAGTTTTGCATTGAAGTCTCCCATTAACACCGTATATTGGGTTTTGGAGGAATGCATGGCTCTAGAGATATCCTCATACAT